GGGGGTGGGGTGGGGAGGGGGACTGGCGGCTGGGCTCGCGTCTGCACCGTACCGGGGGCTCCAGACCCAAAGAGCCACCCCAGAAATCTGACTTCCAGGGACTTGTGCAGCAGACCTCCTACCAGCCCCTGACACACACACACACACACACACACACTGACCGCTCACAATTCTCACTCCCACAGGGCTCCCATACTCTCCCACATCCCACACCTCGCACCCACACTCCCAGACCCTGCACACGCATTCACTTGACCCACACGCATACGCCTTACGCCCAACACCCACACTCACGCACCCTGCACACTCACTCACAACATTCATTCACGCGACCCCCTCCTGCACACTCATTCACAAGACCCCCCACCCCTCACACCCAACACCCACATTCTCACACATTGTACGTGTGCATATAACCCACAACTTTGCACTCGTTTACACACCTCACCCACCCACGTGCCTCACATGCTGCACACTCACACATGTGGTTCCCCTCATACACACCTCACACACACAGTACCACTTTGCACGCTTAGATATGACTCACTCACACGCTCTCAAGTTCACACGAGGCTCCTGTGTCCTGGGTCAGCGCTTCAGATGATTGCAGAGGGGCCGAGTTAGGACTCTCGTGACTGAGTGACAGCCGCTTAAGCAAGGAAAGGGAACTGATCTTAATTAATAGTAATTTGTTAAGCATTGCCTTTGCCCCTTGGGTGCCAGATCTGTTTCTCCCGGCAACACCATGCCTGTCTTCTTTCCTCATGTTTATGGATGGGAAACGGGCCCGGGGAAGTTAAGGCAAGTGCCCAGGTCTCCCTGCTCACACACGGAGCGGTGGGGCTTTATTGCTAGAGTACGTCCTCTGGCTCAAACTGAATTCAAGACCTTAGTCCCGACAGGCCGCCCCGGATCGGAGACACTCACTTACGTCGCAGCAGAGGCTGTGTCCAGTGATGGTGAGCAGGTGAATTGCCAAAACTCAGGATTCCAAAACCACAGAGAAGCTTTACTGCCAATTCTGGCAAAATATCCAGGCTGGAGGATTGATTGATTTTCAAAGGTTTTTTGTTTTTTGTTTTTTAGTTTATTTATTTATTTATTTTGAGAGAGAGAGAGACAGAGGGACAGAGACAGAGAATCCCAAGCAGGCTCTGCGCTGTCAGTACAGAGCCTGACGGGGGGCTCGAACTCACAAACCACGAGATCATGACCCGAGCCCAAACCAAGAGTCAGTGAGCCACCCGGATGCCCCCAGGTTGGAGGATGAAACATGGGATGTGAGCGCTTTGAGTAAAGAGTGTGGCGGTCTCTGAGGGCCTGTGCAGGTTCACCGAGAACTTGACCTCTGTGTGCTAGGCCCTGGAGGGCCTGTAACACCGAGCTGGTCGGGGGGTGTCCCCAGGCCCACCTCCTTCTTCCCTGGCCTTATGCCTGGTCTGATTTTGGATTTTAAATTCTCTCTCTCTTCCCCATTAGAGTTTCTGGCTCTGGGAGGAACTATATGAAATTTGCACTCTGGTTTTTTTTTTAATGTTCATTTATTTCTGAGAGAGAGAGTGGGGGTGGGGACAGAGAGAGGGGGACAGAGAATCTGAAACAGGCTCTGTGCTGACAACAAAGAGCCCGATGCAGGGCTTGAACTCATGAGCCTTGAGATCGTGACTTGAGCCGAAGTTGGACGCGCTGAAATTTGCACTCTAAATCCTCAGGGACAAGACCGGTGGTGCCTGGGGTCCCCTTTCTGGCTCCTGTAGACTGTAGCATGCCCAGGGGCCTATGACATTTTGTAAACAGCAGTCACTGGCTGGTTGAGAATTAACCTCTCACTTCTCCCTTTCTCCCTGTGGCCTTGCCTTCTTGCAAGATGCAACTGTCAGCCAAGGACTCAGGAATGTTGCCGCTGCTCATTGGACTCCCAAAAGCAGGTGGCAGTGGTGAAGCCTTATCACAGCTTTGGCTTCCTTAGATCAGTCTTGTCATCTGAATGAAGAAAGGCTCATTGCACATCCTCAGGCCACACACGCAGTCCCAGTCACTCACGCCTGCAGGCACACCCTATCGGGTTCATGCACACACTCTTACACTGACACTCACCCATACACAACCGCACTATTTGTGTTTTCTTTTATATTCACTCTTACATCTACTATCTATCTATATATTATTCACCTTCATTTGTAGATGAAAAAAACCCAACTCAACTTTGTTTAGCCTAAGGAGAAGGGGGCTATAACCAGGATATTAAGGCGTTGGTTCAGGTGTAGCTGGATCCAGCAGTTTAAGTAATGGCACCTGGGTTCTGTCTCTTCTCTGTCTTTGCCTTGTGGGAGTCTGTTTGGCCTCCATCTCAGGCAGCTTCTCTTTGTACATGGCAGCAAGATGACCCTGTAGCTCCAAGTCCATGGTCACCATTACCGCTCTAACTTCAATGAAATAGCGAGCATCTTTTCTTAATGGTTCTAGCAAAAGTTCCAGGGCCAAATCGGATTAGTTGTGTGAATCATGTGTCCATTCCCATGGCCAAGAAATGGAATGATCTGATCCCCACGCCCATCCCTGAGCCGTGGTGCTGGTCAGTCCCACCTGAACCAGCTTTTCTCCACAAAATGGGATGCTGGGTGAGCCAACCTCTCCGCACACCCCATGCATCGAACCATACAATTCATCCCCATACATACACGTTCACCCGGACGACGCAGGCTATGTGCACTCACATGTGCAGACACATCTACACACCCTCTGTGTGCCACAGTGTTTATGAGCATGGGACTGAGTTTCTACTCTGCTACTTAGATACGGGCTGTGTCGCCCCGGTCACATGACCTAGCCTCCCTGGGCCTGTCTTCTCATTCCTAAAATGGGGTTCATAACAGTGTTTCTCCCATGGGGTTATTGTGAAAAGCTGACAGGCTGGGGTGTGAGCGGGGTACTTAGAACCACGCCCGCCATGCAATGGGGACTCGATAAATGTTAGCCGTCGGCATCGTCCCTGTGACCGGGCACCTGTCTCCCATGAAACGCCCACCCATGCTCTCTCCTGCTCGAAGCTCCCACGTTCCCTCACTGCAGGGCTGCACATCCCTTTGAGTCATGGGCTGCCTCAGGGTCCTCACCTCCTGCCTCCCCTCTTGGCCCCAGGATCCTGTGGTGCCTACTTCCGCTGTCGGACCGGCAGGTGCATCCCGTGGAGCCTGGTGTGCGATCGCTGGGGTGTGGACAACTGTGGCGATGGTAGTGACCAGGCATCCTGGCCACCGGCCGACTGCAGAGGTCAGTCATGGGTGCGGCCTAGGCCCCGCTGAACAGCTAGGAGGGGAGCGGGGCTGGCTGCCCTTCCCTGGGGCAGGGCATCAGCGGGGAGGTGGGAGGCAGGGGCATGGCAGGAGAGAATAAGGTGAAGCACAGTAGTGAGGAATCTGTGTAGACGGGACGACCTGAGGATCAGAGCAAGCGAGGGCCGGAATGATGCTGGAGAGGATCTAATTCAGCTGCTTCCAAAATCCAGCTGCTTAGTGGTGGAAGCTTTTCCTAAGTGGAATTTCGCCCAGAGGCCCAAGCCTCAAAAGGAGAGATGCTCTATTTAACTGGACATGGAGGCCCAGGCCCTGGCTGACTGATGTTTCACCAAGGGACCTGAGTTGGACCTTCAAGACTTACTTTGGAAACCACGGATCCAGTCTGACTCACACATTTTATGTATGGGGAAACTGAGGCCTGGGGAGGAGAAATGACTCACCCAAAGTCATAGAGTCAGGGAGTAACATAACCTGGAATGAGCTCTGTAGACAGAGCGGGGACCAAAATAGATCACTCAGGAAGATCCTTCCTGCAAATCTAAGATGCCGCCTCCTGCAAACAGGGCTGGCATGTCCCGTTGAACAGGTTGTTTACCGCAAAATGCCACTTAGCTGAAGGGTGAAGGCCAGCTTCCCAGGACCCCACGCACTTACCTGCCAGGCCACTCCTCAGTCTACTTTGCAGGTTCACCATTATCTGCCTTACACTCTGTGCTTTGTGCCCGAGGCCCCATTCCTATACCCTCCTTTCCTCCAGCCTCTCCATGCCCATTCCTCTGGTGCTCTCCTTTATGTGACATTGCCATCTGGACTCGTCTTTGAACTCTAGTGACACACCGACCTCCCTACTCAATCTCTCCATGTGGCTGTGTAGGTGGCATCTCAAACTTAACTTGCCCCAAACTGAACACCTGATGCACAGCCCTCCCCCATCCTGCTCTTCACCGACGTCCCCTGCTCTCAGCCCATAGCCAAGCCATCCACATCATCAGAATTTGATGTTCTGCTCGGGATGAGACTGGAGTTATGGGTCACTGGCAGGAAGACCCCGGGCCAAGTGTCCTGTTCATCACCCCGTATCCAAAGCACATACTGCCAGCACCAGGTGGTGTTTGTAAGGTTTCTCCACTGTTACCTTTGCTGCCTCCCCTCTCTGTACTGTCCTCTTTGGAAGAAGTCACCCCGTGGGTCGCACACGTTGGAGTGGGGAGTGAACTCCCCGCCAGAGGGGCCTTTGAAAACAGCCCACGTTACTCCAGCGCTAGAACCCTCCACACGCCTCATCTGTCAACAGAAGCAAAGCCCTGCAAAGTCCACAGTCGCTGTTCCTTTTGTCCTGTGGCTCCTCTGGCCCTTCCCACCTCCCTTTTCCTTCCTCCCCGCCTCCACGCCGGCCCCCCGGTTCCCTTCCTGTCCTGCCTTCTGGCCTGGGCTGAGCTGTCACTGCCCTGAACCTTGTTTTCGGGGGTTTACCTTGGCCTCCTGTGGGTTTCTACTTAAGTATCTCAGTGAGTTCCTTCCTGGCCCCTTTATTTAACATAGCACCCTCTGTCCACCGACAGGTGAATGGATGAATACAATAGGATATGTCTGCACAACGGAGTATTATCCCGTCCTAAAAAGGAAGGAGATTCGGACACATGCACGAACATACAACACAGGAATGAACCTTGAGGACACTGTGTGAAATGAAATAAGCCCATGTGAAAGGATAAATACCAGGATTCCACTTACACGAGGCACCCTGAGTAGCCAGATTGTACACACAGAAAGAATGGTGGTTGTCAGGGGCTGGAGGGAGGGGGATGGGGAGTCAGTGTTCCCGTGGGGACAGAGTTGCAGTTTTGCACCGTCTGGAGATGGTGGTGATGGTCAGACAACCATGTGAATGTGCTAACGCCACTGAACTGTATGCTTAAAAATGGCTAAAATGGTTCATTGTGGTATATATTTCACCACAGTGAAAAAGGAAAGAACGCTGACCCTGCCCTGTCCCTTTTCCCTCTTACTGTCTCCACAGCACCTCTCCATGTGACATGACAGAATTTGTGTTCCGTCTCGGCACCCTAAACCGGGTTTGTCTATTTCACACACTGCCGGTTCCTCCTGTCCCCAGGGCAACGCCTGGGGGGCAGTAGATGCTCAAGAAATAGTAGTCAAATGAGTGGAAGAATGGCCCTCTCTCTGCCTCAGTTTCCTTATCCGTAACATGGGGATGATAAACCTAAGGTCTCAGAATTGTCATGAACCAAATGAAATACTGCAGGTAAAGAGCTCAGCGCCTAGTACAGCACTTGGTGCCCAGAAAATGCTCAAGACAGATACATCCTCCTCTTTTAAAAAAAATTTTTTTTAACATTTATTCATATTTGAGAGACAGAGAGAGAACATGAGTGGGGGAAGGGCAGAGAGAGAGGGAGATATAGAATCCAAAGCAGGCCCCAGGCTCTGAGCTGTCAGCACAGAGCCCTATGTGGGGCTCAAACTCACGGACCGAGAGATCATGACCTGAGCCAAAGTCAGCAGCTTAACCGACTGAGCCACTCGAGCTCCCCGATACACCCTCTTTCTTGGGAAGTGGCTCCATCCGTCAACCCCAGGCGCTGGAGCTCCAGTCCTCCCCTATCACTGCTCTGTGATCTAGACAAGCTACTTAACCTGTCTGTGCACTTCCCCTATCTGTAAAATGGAAATACTAATAGTAACAAGAGAGGTTTAGGGAGGATTCAGTGAGACCGAGTCGAGTCCTCAAAAGTTCTCTGTTACTCTATCATTTCCCGCCGCAGGTCCCTCTCTGGTGCCCAGCCAGGTGAGGGCTACAGATGGCCATACCTCCCAGCCCCTGACGCCCTCCCCAGCTCTCAGGTCTGCAGGCCCCCTCCAGATGGCGGCCGAGAGGAGCCCCCTGGCAGGCCGGGCCCTCGAAGAGGGGGATACAGCAGCTCCTCCGGGAGGTATGCAGCTCTTGGTTCCCACCTGATCCCATTCCTCCCACCAAGGTCACACTTGTCCCTCTCTAGGTGACAGGGATAGGGCAGCAGGCCCAGGCTGAAGCCTGAGTGGACTCTCCCTTTCCTTCTGCAGGTCCCCGGCTCCGGGGCGTGGCACCGGTCCCTTCGCTGGTCCTAGCCTCCACTGGCCTCCTTGTGGGCCTCGCCTGGTGCTGCTGCTTCTCCAGCTGGCTGGCCTGGTGGGCTGGTGCCCGTGGCCTCTGTCCCAGCTGCACCATCTGTCACACGTGTCCTGGCCAGGTGGCTCCTGGGGGGCCGCAGCCGAGCAGGCCGACCTTCCAGGGGCAGGGAGGACGTCCCTAGAGGCTGTGGCTTCAGAGAAAAGAGAGCCGGCTCTGGGCTCAGACAGACCTAGGGTTCTACCCCATCCCCAGGAGGGCTGTCTGATCTTGGGCAGGTTGCCTAACCCTCAGACTCAGGCTGCTCCTCTGGAAAATGGGAGGATTCCTGCCTCACATGGTTGTTGTGAGGAGCTATCGGCGGGCCCTCTGCTGGATCCGTGAAGGGCAAGGAGCAGGAGGGCCTCACTCCCCTGAAGCCGCTTGGCTCCACTCCCAGACCTCACCTGCCCGGCTTTGCCCCACCCCGGCCCACCCTCGGGTGCCACCGAGTCAAGCCCTAGTCAGAGGCGCAGCAGACCGCTCTGGCGGGGATAGCACCGTTTATTAAGAAAGGTCAAGACACAGACCACAGGAGGGTCCCTTCTAGGACACAGAGGCCAGGTGTCCTGACCCCACATCTGTGGACTGCTGGAGGGGAGGGCACGTGCTCCCATTTGGGCCCTCAGGCCTCCACAGACGGGGCAGGGCTGTCGTGTCCCCTTCTTGTCCCTCCCAGCCATGAGTCCTGGCCGGCATCCCCCACGCAAGGCACTAAGTCTTTTCAACCACCGATGCCCTCCTCCCCCCATGTCCCCTGGGCCTTCACTTCCAGATCAGTGGGGGGATGTGGCTTGCTGTGGGCGGGGAGACCCTCTCAGTGCTGGGTTCTGCCCATAGCAGCTCCTGGTGAGAGTTGGGGTGGACTTTCCCTTGCAGCCCCTGAGGGCGGGGGCCCTGGGCAGGTGTCGGGTGTTGGGGGCGGGGGGGGGGGGGGGGGGCGGTGATCCAGGAGGACTCGGTGGGAGGGGGAGGCTGCCGGGGCAGGTGGCCCGGCTGGCCAGGAGGAGGTGGAGGGGGCTGAGACACGGGCCGGCAGGGGGTGGGGTTGCCTGCCCAGGAGTGAGCTGCCTTTTGTTCCACAGTTGGCACTAAAGAGCTTTCCCCGCCCGGAGGCGGGTGGCAAAGGCAATTGCGATGCCCCCCGCCCCAGGCAGCTGGTGAGGCACCAGCTGGAGGCCGAGGTTGGCTCTTGTAGGACTGGGGGGCTGCCCGAGGGCTGCAGAACTGGACGGCCTGGCTCTACTTGGGGGCGGGGCTCTATTGGTGGTGACAGTTCTGAGCCCGATCGGCCACCACGGTGTCTGACCCCAAGTCCTGGTGGTCCTCTGAGGCACCAGCTCCCATCCAACCTGCCCTACCTGCCAGCCTGCGGCTCTGCCCAGGTGTGTTTGTGCGTGGGGGGTGGTGTGCCCACCCTCCAGGCCGGCCCAGGGCAGTAGCAGCAAAGCGTGGCATTGCCTCAGTTCCTTACAAAATATTCATAATAATAATATTAATAACAATATACTCGACGTCGTGGGGCTGGGATGCTGCCCGGGAGTCCGTGTGGGGCGGGCGGCTGCCTATGAGGGGCAGGGGCGCGTGCTGGCCCCTGCCTGGGCGCGGTGCTCCAGGTCCAGCGGCTGTGGGGGCGGGGCGCCAGGCCGGGCAGAGTGCAGCACCAGGTTCTTGATACAGCCGGTGATGCCCGTGGAGAACCTGCCCCCGGTCAGCGTGCTCACGTCGGGAGCTCCACCTTAGGGGATGAGAGGCGACGGGGCTTGTCAGCTCCGGGAGCCCGGCGGGCGGGGGGGAGGCTGCAGGCTCTAGCTCTGCAGGAGCCCCATTCCCTCCCTGGCCCTGAGCAGGGTGCCCTAGGCCTCGCCCAGCCCGGACTTACCTATGTAGATGCTGCCCTTGGTGTTGACGGCCACGTTAGGGCCTGGGGACTGGCCACTGACCAGCTCCTCGCCGTCCACCTGGATGGAGCCTCTCCGGCCCTCTCTGTGGTGAACGGGGGGCAGGCTCCTCACCACCAGTTCTAAGTCCCCTCCCTGCCTGCCCCCTGCTCGGAGCTCTTTCCTTTCCGCACTGGATGAGATCCGGCCCCACAAACACAGCTTCCCAGCACCCCACCCGGCTTTCATTCATCCCTTAGGGTGCTTGCCTGCCACCCCCCGGGGAGTTCCATCCTGCCCTGGAAGTTTGTTCCGGCTCACGGGCCCTCCCCCGACCCTGGCTTCAAGTTCTGTCTCCCAGAGCTCAAAGCTTGCCTCCCTGCACACGGTGGGCGGTGTCCTGTCCCAGTCTAGAACTCCGAGCCCCTCACCCTCGTGCCCAGGTGGACTCCCTTACCGCAGTGCCGTCACCCGATGCCACTCGCCATCATTGATGGGGTCCTCGGAGACGAGGCAGGCCTCCCCGCTGCCCAGCTGGTAGCTGTGGTCACACAGGCCCAAGACAGTGTGAGCTGGGGCAGGCGGTGGTGGTGTGTGTGGCTGGGGTGCCGTGGGCCGCAGCTTCTCGTGGGAGGAGCCGTAGCACCAAGCAGAGGGTCACTGAGGGGGTGAGGGAGGCCAGGGAGGGGGAGGAAGGGCCAGGTGCCTGCACCCACCTGAAGACAAGGTGCCCGTCCTGAAGCCCGAGACTGATGAAATCCTTGCCGCGGCCGGCCTCTCCCACATCCTGCCCGGGAAGCACAGGGTCACTGGGGTTCCCAGCCTGGAGAGCCAAGGCCCCTGACGGCGGTGGCCTTCACCCTCCTCCTCTCACGGCCCTGCCCGCCAGGAGGCTGAGAACCCTGTGACCCCGGGCCAGATGCCCACACTCACCACGCCCTGCCAGAGCAGGAGGCCATTGGCCGTGCTCGTCCGAACCTCCAGCTCGATGGTCTCTGGCGCCTCGGGCAGGCTGGGAGTGGAGACGCGGGTGAGGGGGAAGTCCCAGATTCCTGTTCCCCTCCCTGGACCCACAGGCTCCCCTAACACCCATCTCACCTCCTGGAGAAAACGCGGCCGGGGAGAGCTAGGAAGCCGTCATCGTGGAAATAGGCTCCGTACTGCCCAGGGGCATCTGCGGGACAACGTGGGGCTGGTGAGACACCTGCCGGCCTGCGTGGAGCGGCCACCGACCACATGGGCTCCAGGACCCCCACCTCCACCCGTGTGTGCGCTACTATGGGGGCCCTGAACCTGCAGTCTCTGGAGACCCCAGGGGGCTGTGAACAGAAGTCAGGGGCCTGTGAACTTGGATGGGGAAGCCCTGTAGCTCTACCTTCGCTCACTTCTCACTGAAATGTAGCAATTCCTTCCCATATCCATGTAGGCAGCAAACCAAAGGAGCCGCAGTGGGACCTGTGATGTGTCACTAGCAGATACCCTTACTGCATTTCAGTGGTTACAAATATTTCAGAACGTTGTCTATGCTTGTTGGAACTGCGGTAGCTGTCAGGACCACCACCAGGTCTTGTTATTTAATGTGTTACTAAAGAAGCACCTGTGTTACAAATCTGAAAGTTTTAAGTATTTTGATAACCTTATTTCAGTACAATTGGTTTGTTCTGAAATCCTATGCGTTTTGTTTTATGTGGTCAGTAGGGTCCAGATAGGGTGACCAGTCGTCCCTATTTGCGTAGTCCTGTCCTGCTCTTAGCTCTGAAAGTCCACATCCCGAGAGACCCCTTAGTCCTGAGCAAGCCGGGACAGCTGGTCACCTAGGTCAGTGGCACACAAAAGGTTCAGGATCTTTGTGTTCCCTCCTTCTTGCAGGCGGGAAGACAGGCTCAGGCAGGCGAGTGACGTTCCCAGGAAGTGGGAAGCCTGCTTTGGACCCTTTTGGCCCCAACGTCCATACTGTGTGTGGCTCCAGCATCCCTAGCCCCACCGTCTCAGACGCATCCCCACAGGCCAGCGCTGGTCCCTGAGGGCCTATGAGGGTGGGGGACACTTTGCCACCCTCTGCCGAACGATGATAACAGCTAACATTTACCAAGCACCTACTGCGTCCCAGTTGCTGTGCCAGGAGCTTCACGGCCAGCTGCAAGCACCATTTCATTTCAATGGATCTCTGTAACAATCCTAGGACTTCGACATAATGCTAACAATGCTAACATTCTGTCCCCACAGCAGACCAGACATTGTTCTCAGCATTTTACATACACTAAATAATTTTACCTGACACAAAGTTTTATCCAACCCTTGTGGGAGGATGTTACTTCTCTTTATTTTACATATACAGAAACTGAGGCACAGAAAGGTTGAGTGACTCACCCGAAGTTACACAGCTAGGAGGTGGCAGGGCTAAGATTTGAATCCAGGCAGGCTGGCTTCTGAGCATGCTCTTAGCCACTCTACTGCTACCTCTCCTATTATATTAGTGACAGATAAGAAGATGGGTGTGGACTAAGCGGTTAGCCCAGGGTCTATGAACGGCCAATAAACACTGATTTTTTTTTTTTTTTTTTTAAATTATGATTGCTTTTAAATAGATTGTGGAGGGGCGCCTGGGTGGCTCAGTCGGTTGAGCATCCAACTTCGGCTCAGGTCATGATCTCACAGTCTGTGAGTTCGAGCCCTGCGTCGGGCTCTGTGCTGACAGCTCAGAGCCTGGAGCCTGCTTCAGATTCTGTGTCTCCCCTCTCTCTCTGACCCTCCCCCGTTCATGCTCTGTCTCTCTCTGTCTCAAAAATAAATAAACATTAAAAAAAAATTAAAAAAAAAATAGATTGTGGAATCCTTGAGAATGAAGGTCTTGCCTTGTTCATCTTACATCTCCTGCTTCCAGAGCAAGGATGGGCACACGATAATTTGTTGACAGAATGCATGAACGTAGAGGAGAAAACTGGGGTCAGAGTGGCTCAAGGACCTGGCCCAGGTCACCTAGCCAGTAAGTACAGGGCAGGACCCGGCTCTGTGTTGCTGTGCTCTTTTTTGTTCTGTCCCTCTGTGCCCAGTGAGCCTCCCACATGCTTGTCCTGCTTATAGGCCAGAATTGAGGGTGTGGGGCACCCGGAAGAGGGGCTGAGAGACCGGAAGCCAGGGAAGAGCCAAGCCTCTCTGGCCACAGGAAATACATACCGTTGCCCCCGCTGCCTTCCAGATGCCAATCAGACTCGGCTGTGCCTTGTCCAGAGCCTACGGGGAAAGGCGGGGTGCAGTCGGTGAGCACAGACACTGTGGGTGCCACGTCCAGCCCCAGAGGGCCCCAAGAGGGAGGTGGGGAGAGGCCAGGACAGTTACCTTGTTGGCAGCGTGGGCCAGAGAAGCCAGGGGGACAGAGGCAGCGGGTGCCCTGGCAGACGCCCCCGTGCAGACAGGGCTCACGGAGCCGGCAGGGGTTCTCCTCGTGCTCACAGAGGTCTCCTGTGGGCCAGGGCGCAGTGAGCAGGCACGGGTGGGAGTGGCCGCGACCACCTCGTACCGCCCCCTGCCGGGACCTGCCGGGCTCCCACACCTTTGAAGCCATCGGGACACAGGCACTGAAACTCGTACTCGCCGGTAGGCATGCACGTGGCACGGTTCTGGCAAGGCTGGCGCTCACACGGGGAGCTGGTGTAGCACTGCCCGATGCCCCGGCTGCCCAGGAAGCTGTAGGTGAGGTCTAGCCGCTTCCCGTTCACTGACACCTGCAGGCACAGGGACGGGGAGGGGCTCTGGGCATGCGGGAGGCAGAGGCAAAGTGACCCAGGGGACAGCAGGGGACCCAAGCGGGAGCACGAGTGGTAAGGCGGGACTCTAGCGCAGGCGAGGGAGGAACCTAAGCCGAACGCCTCCTGTGCGCCAGGGACCGCCCTCGGTGCAGTCACTGCTCCGTGAGGCCCTTCGCGGGAGGCATGATTGTCCCTGATCCACACAGGAGGGAAGTGAGGCCCAAGGGGAAGCATCTGGGCTCGCTGCAGGCAGAGGGTCCTGTCTGCACCCTCCCCTCCCCTCCCCTCCCCTCTTGTCCTCTGGAGGCCGCTCCTCACCTCGCCCACACAGCCACGGAAGTGAGCGCTAACGTTGGTGGCCGGGGGCAGACGCACAGAGGGCTCCACGCCGCCAAGGTAGAGGAGGGTGTGCAGGTTGAGGCCCTGGCTCTTGCCGGGAGAGGAGCGCAGCACAGGGCGCCTGCTGTTCACGCGCAGGCTGCCGTCCTTGTTGAGACGTTCCGCGGATACTCGGTGCCAGTGGCCCAGGGCCAGCGGCTCGGGGGTCCGCAGCACGGCCAGCCCTGGGGAGGACGCCGGGCAGGGATGGCATACGGGGAGCACCCCCCCTCCCCCCGCCCCTCACAGGGCCTGGGGTGGAATCCGCGAGAGATCTAGGGGACTTGCCTCGAGTCACACACAGAGAGAAGGAACGTGAATGAACAGGGGACTTGGGTTGGTCTGACTTCTGAAGTTACTCCTCCAAGCCCCCATGGGGCTTGGGGAGCTGAGGGGGGCACAGCACTTGGCATCTAGAGCCCATCAGTGTTTCACGTCCGGTGCTCACCTGACCCTAGCTCATATCGGAACTCCAGGTGGCCGCCAACCATCGCCAGGGACACGAAGTCCTCCACAGGCCCGCTAGTCCCCCCGCTGAACAGCAGGATGCCGTCAGGCGCCAGCGGCTTGAACTCAATGTCCAGGCGCAGTTCATGGTGTGTGTTGGTGAGGGCGGGCAGTGCCAGGTAGGAGCCAGTGCCCGACATGGAGGGGGTGGTCACCGTCACACCTGCAGCAGCCACAGCTCAGCGGGGGGCAGTGGGGATACTGGCACCCTTGCCTGCCCCCCTCCAGACCCAGGGGCTCAGGACCAATTGGGTCACAGCTGCAGCACAGGAGCGCCAGACCGTGGGCCCTGCAGACCAGCCTGGAAGAATCTCCGGTAAGAGTGGGGGAGCTTCGGGGACCCTCATGCAAGTGACTCAGACTGGGCAGAGGCTTGGTTGGCCAGGTGCCTTTGAGGCCCTATGGCTCTGGAGTAATTTTATCAACTACAGGGCCCTTGGTGGCCTCAGAGTGTCCCTGCCCAGCTTCCCCCCATCCTTCTGGGATTCCCTGGGGTCTCGGGTCTGGCTCCACTCACCTTCCTCACATCTCATCCCTGAGCGGCCCAGATGGCAGCGACAGGTGTAGCCTCGACCGTCAGGCCGGTTCACACAGGTGGCGTCGGGCCCACAGGCCTCTGGGGGACACAGGGACCGGCAAGGAGGCATTGAACTGGCCTGGGAGAAGGTGGGGTCCTGATGCCAAAGCCCCAGCTATTGCACCCAGGGGGCCTTGGCTAGCCTGGGAGGGCTGCCTCCGAGACCGGGCAGGAGGAGTGGATTACAGCTGGGGTAAAGGGGGGGGGGGCGGTGCTGAGAAGGCTGGACAGGGGACACATGAGGGGGCAGTGAATGAGTGAGTGTGGTGTTCTTGAAGGACTGTACCTGGTGACAGTGCAGGGGCGGTGGTACCGAGGGGGCAGGTAACGGGGTGTGTGCCTTGGTGGGAGACGGGAAGGTGGTAGGTGCCCGGGGTGGTGAGGGGCTGGGGGGAGCGCCCAGGAGCCGTGATGGGGGCAGGATGGGTGGTCGGGGGTGAGAACTCGGGGAGCAGAGATGGGCGCAGAGTGGGTACTGGGGTGGCAGAGACGAAGTCAGTATCTAGGAGGAGTGGTGAGTACCTGGACGAGTGACAGAGGGTCACTAAGTACAGCTAGCAGTGGGGCGGGTGGATCTGGAGGGGCGGCAACGGGCGGAGGCCAGCACCCAGGGGTGGCAGCGACTGGAAGGGTGGGTCACACACCTGGGTGGCAGTGCAGGGCCTGGGAGTGCTCACAGCGGCTCCCGGTGAAGCCAGCCGGGCAGATGCACACGTAGCTGCTGCTCTCTGAATCCTGACATTGGCCCCCGTTCTGCGAAGTTGCCCCCAGAAGTCAGGCCAGGAACATCCTGCCTCTCCCCCGCTTCCCACGGGGGTCTGCCCCGGCCGCGGGCAGCGGCAGGGGTAGCTAGGTGGTGAGTGCGGGGTGGGGTTACCTGGCAGGGCCGGTCCCGACAGGTGGGGCAGTGGGAGATGCCGTGCGCCGTAAGGTTGAGGTCGTGGAAGATGATCTCCTCGCCCTGGATGCGCAGCTCCCGGACACAGCCTGGGCAGCAGCAGGCACAGTGAGAAGGGCGGCAGTGCCGGGCCCAGCCCGTACCCTGTAGGGCTCTTCGGGGCTCCCGTGGGCTCTGCCCACCGGCCAGCTGAGGCTCGGCCAGGGACGGAGGCGGGGAGGGGGCTCACCTACAAAGCCGCCGCTCAGCCCCGCCTTGGGGATGGCGCCGTAGTCGGGGTAGCCACCCAGGTAGAGCTCCTCGTTTAGGTCCAGGCCCTGGAACTTGCCCTGGGCAGTGGAGAAGTCAGGGATGGTGAAGAGGGGCTGGGCAGAGGTGGGGAGGGGGCCGGAAACGGGGGGACCGGTGGGGCCTCACCTGAGAGGTCCCGTTGACCGGGGCCAGGCCGCCCACAATCAGGGAGCCCTGGGTAAGGCTGCGCAGCAGGGTCACGGTGTGGAACTGGCCCAGTGCCAGCGGAGTGGGGTGGCGGATGGTGGCCATGCCTGAGCCTGCGTCAAACCTGCTCCACCGAGTGGGGCCGGGCAGGAGGAAAGCACTTAAGTGGCTTGTCAGAAGGGCTGGGCGGTGGGCCCAGCCTGGGCAGAGGTGAAGTCACTGTTTCCTGCAGTTCTGATCTAGTTCCTGTCCCTGCCCTGTCCTCCCGCCCTATCACCCACCCCTAGCTCGCCACATCCCTGCCCCTTCCTCAGGTCTTCTCCTTGCTCCGCCTCCCCAGAGCTTATCCCGAGCAGCCCCTGGGGCGCCAGCTGCCCTCAACCTTACACCTTGTTGCTCTCCCTTTATGTCTGGGTCTTCCCCAGCTAGAATATATCTTCCCCCAAGGGCCAGAATGTGGTCTGTCCGTGTCCGTGCCTGGCACCATGTTCAGCAAATAGCTACCGAGTGATGAATGAGCCTGGTCTGCAGGAGTCCCACCGGGTAAAGACATGCTCAGCATCACTGAGCATTTCTGCCGCAGTTTTGGGCAAGTCTGAGGCTGCTTCCTCCTCTGCTTGGTCGACACACTGTGTCCACTCGAGCAGATCAGGTGGTCACCGAAGGTAATGGTCACATTTCCTCCCTCCTCCTTCGTCCAACTCACTCCAGGGTGGTGTGTGCCTGACCAAAGCCCGCAGTCCCCCAGCCCCCTTCCCCTGTAAATGGGAAGGGTGAGGGTCTCACCGGAACTCAGGCCTTCCACCCACGAGGCCGAAGGAGATGAAGTCAGGCTGCCTGTTGGCCAGGTTGGTGGGGCTCCCTGGGATCCGCTTCTGCCCATTATACAGCAGCATCCCTGGGAGGGCACAGCCATGTAAGGCCCTCCCTCCAGCTCCCCAGCTATGGGCTCCCTGTCTGCCCAGCCCCAGGGGTGAGTGACCCCAGCCTGTGACCCTTCACTCTCTAGCTCCCATCCCTCCCTCTGTACGGACACCCTGTGCAGTCGGGGCCTTCCCACTGTCTCTGGATGTGCTCTATACAGAGACTGGCTCAGAGCCCCTACAAAGAAATAGAGTTTGCTTCACTCACACTGGAGGGCCTACCTGAAGGAGGAGAGGAAGGCAGAGACTCACCCGAGTAGAGAAGGAGGCCTGGACAGTGAAAGTCAGAGACCCGTAGGAGATGGAGAAGAGAGAAAGAGAGAGAGAGAGAGAGAGAGAGAGAGAGGAGGAAAGGCTGAGAAATGGAGACAAAAGAGGGAAGGAGGAGAGACAGAACAGGAGGCCAGGACAGGAGGATGGGTGGGGGTGAGGCCATGGCAGAGGGAGGAGGTACTGCAGAGTGGGGGATGGAGACAGGAGGAGGCACGAGAGAGGGCCCAGAGGCCAGGCCTGGGGGTCCCAGGACAGGGATCTGAGGGAGGTGGGTAGGACTGGGGGCCACCAGGGCTCAGACAGTAATGGTGGTTACTCCAAGAGATCCCTGCCCCAGGCTCCCCAAAGCAGCCCCTCTCCTGCTCACCATCGGCTGAGTCAGGACGGAAGGTGATCTTGATCTCGAACTTCCTGTAGGCATCTTTGATGGTGGGCAGTGGCAGGAAGGAGTGGGGGGTCTGTGTGAAGTAGGGCACCACCCGCTCTGCGGGCAGAGAATGTAGCTAGAGACACTGCCCAGCAGGCAGCGGGCAGGGCACTGCCTGGTCCAGAGGGTGTTGTCTTACCCGGCACCTGCAGATGGGCAAAGGCTTTGACCTTGCCCTGGTGATTAGTAGCAGTGCAGACGTAAGTGCCTGCGTCCTGAGGTCGGACTGAGGGCAGCAGCAGCATGGTGTTCTCCACGCGGCTGTCAGGTGGCAGGTTACCGTCCAGCTGCAAATGTACCCACACTTGGGACCCTGGCCTTGGCCCACACCTCCACGGGCTCTGTCTCCCATCTTGCCTCAGACCCACCCTCAGACACTGGGCTCGTACTCTGTGCCAAGCCTGGGCCTGGGCCTGCGGGCACTGAGATGGTGAAGGCCTGACCTTGCCCCTCAGGCATGCCTGCTCGTCCCCTGCCCAGCATTTACCTTGCTCCAGGTGATCTTGGGAGTGGGGTAGCCAGAGACCATGCAGGGGAAGGCGGCTGCAGAACCAGCAGGCACACGGACCTCTGGGGGCGTGGAGATCTGGGGCAAGGCTAAGAGCGGGCAAGGAGACACAGGCCATCAACATGATGACAGCCGCCACTAGAGAGCCCAGCCTGTGTCCGGACTCATTTCATCCTCACTCTAGCCCCTGAAGGGAGGTGCTGCGTCCCCATTTTACAGGTGAGGCTCACTGGGCAGTCAGGGCTCAGGGGCAGGTCCACTTGGTTCCACAGCCCAACAGTCTTCAACACACCCCGGCAGAAAGTGGTGCAGCCCTCTGGGGACTTGAGACGGGGGTACCAGGGCAGCTTGCATCAGTAAGTCTGGGGGCAAGTCATAGGGTTTGGGGTGAAAAGGAGCTGCCTCTGAACACAACACAGATTTGTGTCTGCCCTGCACCCACTGCCCTTTTTCACTCTCTTTTACGTCTGTTTTGTGCTCACGTCGTCACTGCCATCGGATCGGGCTGTGGGTCTCTGTTGTCAGAGCAGGTGCTCCAGTGGGTGAGGACTACATATCCGTTTCCCTCCTCCTGCCCCCTGTCCCCGGGGAGGTCCCTGCCGTCCTTCACCTTGCACGAGCAGCAGCACGTGGGACTGGGTGGTGCCAGCGGCGTTGGTGGCCGTGCAGCGGTACTGCCCCGCATCGGCCAGCTCCACGTGGGCAATCCTGACGATGCCCCCGCTCTGCACGATGCCAGGCCGCAGGCGCCCCCCGACTTTGCTCCATGTCACCTGAGGCTTGGGGTCACCCAGGGCCAGGCACTCGAACTCCACGGCATGGCCGACCACCACGGTCTGCACGGAGGTCCGAATGTTGATGAGCACTGAGGGCAGGGCTGGGGAGGCAGGGAGCAAAGGTAGAGTGAGAGTGAGGCCAGCCTGCTGCAGGCTTGGTCCGAGGAGGTGAACACCGGGGCCCTTGGCAGCCACCCCTTTCTTCATTTGCTTTCTCGTGCATCTACTCATGCACACACTCACTCATTTGCCCTTGTTTACAGGGTTACTCATTTGCATGTCTGCTGTCATTTTTCATTGGCTGGTCTGAGCACCCACCACTCCATCCACCTCCCTTCTTCCCTCCCTTGCAGTATTTGTTAGGCCCCCTTATGGTATGCTAGACACAAGCAAGAAACAATCGAATAATTCTCTTTATTCATAGACATTTCAGGGGCTTCCCGGGGAATATAGTCCCTGTGCCCCTCATTTCTGTTGTAGGCTTTTAAAAAAAATTGTTAATGTTTATCATTATTATTATTATTTCAATTTTTTAAGACGTTTATTCATTTTTGAGAGACAGAGACAAAGCACAAGTCGGGGAGGGGCAGAAAGAGAGGGAGACACAGAATCCGAAGCAGGCTCCAGGCTCCGAGCACAGAGCCCGACGTGGGGCTCAAACTCATGAATGCAAGACCATGACCTGAGCTGAAGTTGGACACTTAACTGACTGAGCCACCCAGGCTCCCCAATGTTTATTAGTTTTGAGAGAGAGAGAGAGAGAGAGAGAGAGAGAGAGAGAATAAGCAGAGGAGGGGAGAGAGAAAGGGAGACACAGAATCCGAAGCAGGCTCCAGGCTCTGAGTGCTCAGCACAGAGCCTAACATGGGGCTCGAACCCACAAGCCGTGAGATCATGACCTGAGCCGAAGTCAGATGCTCACCTGACTGAGCCACCCAGGCGCCCTACTATCCTCTGCTCTTAGGAGAGGAAGCTACCATCCTACCTTGGACAACCAGCTGGGCACTGGCCTGGGCCTGTCCCCATGGTCCATAGGCCTGGCAAACATATGTCCCTTGGCAGCTCTGGTCCAAGTTCTGGATTCTGCAAAGAAAAAATAATAAGACATCAGTGAATACAAACAATTGATAAGAATGCTTTGCCATGGCATGTGAGTTCAAAGCCATTGGAGATTAGCACATGGTGTAAGCTTCTGGTCTCTCGCTAACCACGTGAGGTAGGTAGTAGGTAAGTGAGGCAGACAGGCAGGCAGGTAGATGTCACCACATCCATTTTAGGCCAACACCTTACGGTCAGAGCTCAAGAGCACACAGAGTAGCAGAGCTGAGATCTGGGTCATGTGTATACATCTGGCCTCAGAGACTGTTCTCTTTCCCCTAATAATAAGGATGCAAATATGAGCTCCTGTTTACTGAAGACCTTTCCCATGCTTTAGATAATGTCATTTGGTCCCATGTAAGTCATCGTATGGCTGAGGACATTCAGGCTCAGAGAATGGAAGTGACTTGCCTGAGGATACTGTTTCATGCTGAGCCCCACAGGACAGGTATCTTAACAGCCCCCGTGTGTACCTTGGTGCTCAAGTTCAGTATGGCCTCTCCCCCGACTCACCGGAGCACCCCATCCTGCACACTGTGGCCAGGAGGCAGCTGACCCCCTTCCTTGACCCAACGGAGCTGGGTGCCCTGGTCACTGGGCACGGCACAGTGGAACTCGACGCTGGCCCCTACGCTCTTGGTCTCCAGCTGAGGTGTGACCTGAACGGTGGGCGCGGATCCTGCTGGGATGGCGGTGGCCGGGACAGAGCCAGAGGGGCCTGTGGGGACATGCACGGGGTTGTGTGTGTGTGTATGTGTGTGTGTTACTCCCGACGCCTCCACCTCCCAGGACCCAGAAAACCTCCATCCTAACATTCAAGGGATGCTCTTTTCCCAGAAGCCCCTTCTGCCCAGCCTGGTCCAGGGCTGCCCCACTCACCTTGAACGAGCACCTGGGCGAAGGCCTCAGCCGAGCCCACCTTGTTGGTGACCCGGCAACGGTAGCGGCCTGAGTCCTCGGGGGCCGCGGGCTCAAAGCGCAGCATCTCGTTCCTGGCAGTCGCCCTCCCAGGGAGGCTGCCACCCACACGGCTCCACTGGAAGGTGAGCGGGGGTGTCCCATGCGCCAGGCACTGGATCTGCACCGTCTCTCCTGCCCGCACTGAAGCGTGCTCCGGGACTGTGGTGGCATACGGTGGGCCTGGGGTGGGGGACGGATAGGTCGGGGCAGGGGAGAGCAGCGGTCAGGATGTGAGTGGGTGTTGGACCCAGGTGACTTGCCAAAGGGCCAGAGAAGCTGTTTGGTGAAGCAGCGGACTGGGGATGAAGGAAGCAAGGGTCCCAGGAGGGGATGCGGGTATCAGGCTAGGGCAGGTTCTGGGGGCCTGAGCTGCACGGGGCCCTCTCGATGGCGTTCCTGGGGCTCTGTCCAGGGTGTAGCCTGGCTCAGGGCTCCATACAGGGCAGAGAGGACAGCCCAATGAGGGCGGAGGAGCTCCTTACTCTCCACATGCAGGGCGATGGTGGCCTCGGCATGCCCGGTAGGGCTGGTGGCGTTGCAGATGTACTGGCCTGAGTCCTGCTGGGCCACCCGGGGGATGATCAGTGTGTCACCTTCCAGCCGGTGCTGCCAGGGCAGTGGGGAGCGCAGCTTGGACCAGTGGATGGTGGGCGTGGGGCTGCCTGTGGAGTGGAAGACCACAGGGGTCACCGGGCTGCCCTAGGGATGAGCTGGGGGTGAGGCTGGTGAGGAAGCGACCGGGTGATCCTGTCCCTTCACGGGAGTCACTGAGTGGGCATTTCAGCCATCACTGGGTGATGCCAGCAGCAGCAAAGTCCCCTCCCTGGGTGCGATAACATCTCCAGATGTCTTGTGTCTACAGTTCAGGCCCCAGGGCAGCACTGCCCTCTGTACTGTGTGCCAGCCCCATCCATACCTGTGGCTGAGCAGCGCAGGGTGGCTGTGTGTCCGGCCTCTACAGTCAGCTCAGCTTCTTCAACTTGAACCTGGGGGGCCCCTGGGGCCACAGTGCCTGTGTCCACAATCACCTCCACCCGCTTCTGTGCTGTGCCTAGTGCATTCCGAGCCAGGCATACGTAGGTGCCTGCATCCGATGGTTTAGCTGATGAAATCTGGAAGAAAGCAAGGATGCTGGTTATGTGGGCACTGATAGGCACCTTGGCGTCAGCCCCCAGCTCTGGCTTGCTTTTACCTCTTCCCTCTCTCCTTCCCTTGACTTTTAGTTCTCCTGTTCGACTAGCTGCTTGAGGACTCACACTCAAACATCTATCCCATTAGTCCATCCATCCACTTGTCCATGAACCCACCTATCCATCCCCTATCCACCCACCCACCTACCTATCCACCCGCTCACTGACCCATCCACTTTACATCCATTCATCCACCCATCTACCCACCCATCCACCCATCTACCCACCTATCCACCCATCCATCCATCCTTCCAGCCATTCTTTCTTCCTTCCCTTGTTTTCCTTTCTTTCTTCCTGACCATCTTCCAATCTACCCACCAACCACTTATCTCATGCCCCCCCCTTTCTCTCTCCATCCATTCATCACCCAACTTCCCATTTACTACTCTTTCCTCCGAGCATCTGTTCAAGGATGAGCCCTGACTGGGCCTCAGACCCAGAGATGAAATGGCCCTGGCCAGGGGAAGATTCGCCTCACCTGCAACACTGTATGGCTGTCCACGACCCCATACATCCGCTGTTCTAGGTTGGTGGGGGCGCCAATCCGGGTCCAGTGAGCCGAAGAGCGGGGCTCCCCAGCACTGACACATTCCAGGGTGATGGACTTTCCTACCTTCACCCGCACGGGACCCTCAGGGAGCACAGACACAGTAGGGGGCCCTGCCCAGAGGAAGGACATCACTGTTACTCATGCAGGGCTTTGCCCACCACATGCACTGTCACAGCCCCTGTCTTAGTAGCGGCCAGGTGGGCACTATTCTACACCAATGTGGAGAACAGGAGGCTCCGAGAGGGAGAATGCCTGAGAGGGAGGGGCATTGGCAGAAGCAGAATTTAAACTTAGGAGGTTGTGAGCTCAGAATCAGGGCTAGAAACAGGAAGGCAGAGCCCAGGGGGTAGACACCACTCACCGTGCACACTGAGGTTGACGACACTTTGGGCCACGCCGTAGGCATTGGAGGCCACGCAGCGGTAAGCACCGTGGTTGCTGGGTCGGGTGCCCACGATGGTGATGATGGAGCCGTTGGGGCTGATGTGGACATTGTCTGTGGGGTCGGCATTGGGCAGGGCACGGTCAGTGAGGTCGTCTTCATGCCTTGGTGCTGCCAGTGGGCGTAGCTCTGCCCCACGTCCCCGACCCCTCCAGCCTGGGTGTATATGACTCACAGGGTCCCAGGTGGAAGATGGAAGAGTCCTTGGAGACTACCGGGTCCAGCCCCTTCACCATCCAGATGGAGACGGTGAGGCCCCAGAGGGGAGGGGCCTCACCCAGAGGTGAGTTTGGTGCCTTTGCCCCACCCACGATGGTGATCACCACGCCTTTGCACCTGACTCCAGCACGCATGCGTGCGCGCGCACACACACACACACACACACACACACACACACACACACACCCGCCCCACCCTGCAGCCCTCCCTGGGCTCACCCTCCAGTTCTTGGTTCCGAGTTTTCCACTCGAGGCTGATGGGGGCTGCCCCGTCATGGATGAGGCACTTGAAGCTGGCATCTTGGCCCTGCTGCACAGTGCTGCTGGGCGGGTCGATAGAGATGACGGGGCTCCTAAGGCCTGGGGGACGAGGCGGGCAGAGGGCTGGGCTCAGGAGGGCCAGGTTGGCTTGACCTCCCTGCCTCAGCTCCACGGTCTCCCCTCCTCCCCCTGCCCGTGGCATCTGCCACACTCACGGTAGGAGGACCCCGCACTGGGTGGGACAGTGACTGTGAAGGAAGCCTCCTGCTCAGGGCCTGAGCCGCCAACCACGCGGCACACGTACTCGCCGGAGTCAGCAGGGGACACGTGGTGGAGCCGCAGCCGGGAGCCGTGGGTCTGTCGGAGCGAGGAGGGCACAGCCATCAGGCCATAGCACTTGGGGCAGAGCAAGTGCCCAGGCCCACTGTACCAGCACCCGAGTTCTCCCTCGGGTCTCAGGAACCCGGGGCTCCAGCTGGGAGGGGTGAGGGAACTTCATTTACTGGATCCTACATGTCGAACCGACCCAATTTATAGAGGAGAAAGCTGCCTCAGGAAGCAAGTCAGCAGCAGGGCCAGAACGCCCAGACCCCTCACTCCCATGCTCTGCTCCCAAAACTACTCTATCCCCTGGGGTGCCAGGGGAGGCTAGGGTTAGCATGAGGTTTGGGGTGCGGAAAGCAAACGCAGGTTGAACGCTGCCTGCCCATCAGGCCCCTGTACCTGGTGCCGGGCGGGGAGGCTGCCCCCACGCTTATACCATGTGACCTGGGCGTGGGCCTGCCCCGGCACCACGCAGTTCAGGTCCAGGGTCTGTCCTTCGGCCACGTGGGAGGAGGAGGCCTCGATATAGATGGGCTGGGCCAGTCCTGGGGCTGTGGGCACAATGGGTGGGTGAGAAGGGTGAGGCTCCCGGGGATGAAGGCAGGGACTAAAGGTGGTGGCAGTGAATGCCACTAATCCTGCAGGTGCGGTGGCTTGAGTCACTGACAGGACTCAGTGCCACTGACCTAAGAAGGGTCTCCATTCCTTGGGGGAGGACAAGATGCCATGGTGAGGACCCAGGCTGGTCCCCGGTGGCTGTGGGGAGGGGCTGGAGGACATTCACGGAACTGAGAGCCAGAGCCCTGCTGGAAAAGCAGGGAGGAGCAGGGAGAGGAAGGGATTCCCCACGCCTGTGCCCCAGCATCACCCACTGCTGCTGTCACTCACCAGGAATGGGGCTTGGGCTGGAGGCCTCAATCGTGACTAGAACAGAAGCCTCCAGGGTGCCTGAGCTGCTGGTCACTTGACAGTAGTATTCTCCAGAGTCAGCCGGGGACACCTGATTCAGCCTTAGCAGGGGTCCGTGGACCTGGCCAAGGTCAGGGCAAGGCAAGAGTGAGCTGGGGAGCTGGCAGGTCCCGGTACACGCACCCCAGGACCAACATGTACTGAAGTTATGAAGGCCGCATCCTATGCAAGGCAACCCCAAGGCCTTAGACACTGAAGAGCACGACTTTTCATGGTAGGAGGTGGTCTAGTGTCCTGAGTAACACGTGCCCTTTTTTAATTGCATTAGTGTGCTCGGAGGCTGGTGGTGGCTCTGCTGTGCCCAGCCTGTTCTTGACCTCCTGACTCCCAGCGGTCTCCTGGTGCAGTCTTCCCAAAGCCCAGGATGTTGGAACCATTTTCCCTCCTGGCTAGATCGAGGCAGGACTGTTGGGCAGGGGTGGGGTGGGGTGGGGTGAGGAGTGCCCACATCCCACTTTCTCCAGCTCCTGTACCTGGTGCCGGGCAGGAAGGCTGCCCCCGCGCCTGTGCCATGTGACCTGGGCGTGGGCCTGTCCAGGGACTATGCAGTTCAGATCCAGGGTCTGCCCTTCGGCCACATGGGAGGAGGAGGTCTCAATGCGGATGGGTGGGGCTCCGCCTGGGGCTGAGGCACAGGAAGAGGTCAGTGAGCTGGGACTCCCACCCCTTTGCCCTCAACCCCTACTACCCCTGGGTGCCCAGATTTTTAGACCAGAGGTCAGACCACATATGGAGAGGTGGCCTCCGTCCATCCCCCCTGCTCCCTTCCCCTCCCACTGCCCATTCCCCTGAGGCCTGGGGCAGCTAGGCTGGCCTGGGGGAAATGGCTCATCACTCTCTTGGCCCCGCCCCAGACAATGGCCCCACTATCTCCTCTTGTGCTCCTAGCACCACGGGTGGCCAGGGCTCAGGACCAGGCACCTCCACACAGATCACTCATTTTTCTCAAACTTGAACAATGTGCGGCTAAGAACCCAGGCTCTGGGGCCAGACTGCCTGGGTTCAAAACCCAGCTCTGGGGGCACCTGGGTGGCTCAGTCAGTTAAGCATCCAATTCTTGATATCTCACAGTTCGTGAGATCAAGCCCTGTGTCAGGCTCTGTGCTGACAGCATGGAGCCTGTTTGGGATTCTCCCTCTCTGTCTCTTTCTCTCTGCCCCTCCCCTGCTCATGCGCAGGTGCACGTTCTCTCTCTCTTAAAATAAATAAACTTAAAAATGCACACAGACAACCCAGCCCTGCCACTTATTAGCTGTGTGACCTTTGGAAAGCGACTTCATCTCTCTGTGTTTCAGTTTCCCCATCTATAAAATGAACAGAACAATCATGCCTACCTCAAACAGTTTCTATGAGGATGAAATGAGTTAATGTGTAAACAGAACAGGGCCCGGCACCTAGTTAAGTGCCAGATCATGTTCTTTACTTAGCAATTCATGTTCTGCTATCACATCTGCTATAGTCACATATAACTTGTGCTGTTAATTACTTTACATTTTCTTGTCAATTGATTCACTTAACAAAACCCTTTAAAAACTTAGCCCTGTTGTAGGCAATGATTTCCCCGAAATCATGACAGGTTTCATGTGTTGCTGTTTTCTCTAATATAAAAGATTTTTGTCGGGGCACCACGCCAGTCTCCCTCACGTACCCCCAGAGGTGTAGTTCCAGCCTTTAGGGAACTCATGTGATTGTCGCAAGAGTTCTGCCATCTCCATGTTACGGAGAAGGAAAGGGAAGCACGGAGAGAGTCCCTTGCACAACATCTCAGAGCATGGACAGAGGAGCTGGGACTCAAGCCCACATATGCCAGATTCCCAAGTCTGGTCCTCAGGCACGAGAGATAAATCCCACTTGACCTAGCTCCCAACCTCTGCTTGCTGGTTCCTCTCCCTTCCTCCCTCCTCCAGCCTCCCAGCCCCACCACAGGGACCCTTACCAGGGACAGGAACAGCACTGGAGCCAGAGGCCTCGATGTTGACCAGGACTGAGGCCTCCAGGGGGCCTGAGCTGCTCACCACCTGGCACACGTACTCGCCCGAGTCAGCCGGGGACACCTGGTACAGCCTCAGCCGTGAGCCATGGGCCTGAGCCGGGGGGCAGGGTGGGGAAACAGAGCAGCAGAGTGAGATGGCAGTCGGGAGTCCTGGAAGGCTGGAGGCAAAGTTTGACCTCTGACCTAGGCAGGCACTGTGCCCCACAGAGGCTCCGGACCTCCTTCCTCAGTAGATCTGGGGGGAGGGGGGCAGAGATTCCGACCAGGGTCCCCCCCATCCAGCAACCCTCCCACCATTTCCTGCCCCCAACTCCCATACCTGGTGGTGAGTGGGGAGGCTGCCCCCGCGCTTGTGCCACGTGACCTGGGCGTGGGCCTGGCCAGGGACCACGCAGTTCAGATCCACGGTCTGCCCTTCAGCCACGTGGGAGGAAGACGACTCGATTCTGACGGGCATCGTACCGCCAGGGACTGCGGGCACAGAAACAGCAGATTTGGGAACAACTGGGTTGGTAGGAGCCACAGCCATAAAAATCCCTGTTGCTCAAGGTAATAATAACAGTGAACACCTATTAAGCACTGGGAGCATGCCAGGCGCTGTTCCAGGCACTTCGTGTGTGAGAACTCATTTACTCTTTGCAAAATTCATGAACTCTCTGTGAGAATGGAAGCACTCTATCTTCTGTACCGTCCAGTACTGTGCTACTAGCCATGTTACGTGTGGCCACTGAGCACTCGAAACACGGTGACCTGAATGGCGAACTTTAACTGTAGCGGCCACCATATTGGACAGCAGCGTGAGGCTGGAATGACGGGCATCCCCATTTCACTGATGAGGACACGAAGCTGAGAGAGGAGAGGACTTCACTCAAGTCTCTTAGTGGTGCAGGCAGGATTTGAACCCAGGCGCTTTTCTGCAGAGCCTTTGCCCTGGACTGCCACCCTCAGCCGAGAGCTCTGACCGCTGACTCCCCAGGGAGCACTGTTTTTCGAGTCTCCAGTCCTTTCTCAGACTCACCAGAGGGGCTGCCAGTGCTGGGGGACACTGAGACCACGATGGAGGTCTCCTGGGCATCGATGTTGTTGTTGGCCCGGCACACGTACTCGCCGGAGTCAGCCACAGACATGCGGTGCAGCCGTAGGCGGGAGCCATGGGCCTGGCGGGGACGAGGAAGGAGGAGGAGAGGAGTCGAGGGGCCAAGAAGTCACCAGCTAGCTCAGGACTCCTTCCAGGCCTCCCTCGTCAGACTGGCTGAAGCTACCCTCCGTCAACCAAGGGCAAGAGGGAGGGCCGCCCCGGGGCTGCCAGCTACTGCTTCCCTTCCGGTCCTTTGCCCACTGGGGCTGTCCCTGCAGTGCCTACCCCAGCAGGTAGGGGTTCTGGCCTCACTGTCACAGCTCCACTCCATACCTGGTGTTGGGCAGGAAGGCTGCCCCCACGCTTGTACCACGTGATGGTGGCCTGGGGCTGCCCAGCGACTACGCAGTTCAGATCCAAGGTCTGTCCTTCGACCACGGTGGGGGACGAGGACTCGATCTTGATTGGTGGGGAGACACTGGGCACTGGAGACAGAGAAGGACAGACCACACAGCCAGAGTCAGACAACAGTGATGGCTCCAGGGACCGCTCTGCCTCCCCCTGCGCCCACTTGCCTGGATCCCCTGCCCTGTGCCCTCTCACCATGGGAGGAGCCGCTGCCCTCGATGGTAACAATGAGTGAGGTCTCCTGGGACCCGGCACCGTTACTGACGTGACACACGTACTCGCCAGAGTCTGCAGGTGTCACCTGGGGGATCCGCAGTCGGGAGCCCACGATCTGAGGGGGAACACGTGTCAGTGGGTGGATGTAGCACCCCCGTGTCTCCGGGGCAGCTGCCCTGGACTCCAGGAGACTCCCTGCCTCGTCTGGGCTGGCCTCCCCCTGGACGTCCTTCAGAACTCCCTCAGCAGCCTTCCTGAGGCTCTAGGCTGGGGTGGACAGTGTCTCTGGCCTTGGACTGTTCTCACCTTTCACCTGTGCCAAAAGACTGCTGAGGCCATTCCTGGTGAGTCCCCAGTGCCCTGCTGTGGCTTCTATGACACTGCTGTCACAGGGCATATCCACCCCATTCACTAGCCTGTGAGCCCCCTGAGGGCAGGCGTCTGCCTCACTCCACTTGGAATCCTTGGTGCCAGGTGCAGACTTGGCCCAGAGCTATTCTCAGGGGCATTCAGTGAGTGAGTAAATCATAGAATGTTCTATTGAAATATGGGATCCAACTGAGGTCAGTGAGATCTACGTATTTTGTCGGCACTGGTCCAGGGCCCATCTAGTAAGAACACTCCATGTTTGCTGAATGACTGAATGAGCACAGAAAAGGTGTTGAGAACCCCTCCTGAATCCTATCAGCGCCAGTGTGCCCAGTTTTTGCACCACCACCCAATGCCTCCATACCTGGTGCCGGCTGGGTAGGCTACCTCCACGCTTATACCAGGTGATGGTGTGCGGGGCTTGGCTGGCCACCAGGCAGTTGAGGTCCAGGACATGTCCATTGGCCAGGGAGGCTGAGGAGGACTCGATGCGGACGGGGTATACCACGCCCTGGGCTGGGAGGGTGAGACAGGAGGCAGGGTGTGGGAGCCGCTGAGGTTGAAGTGGCTCCCCCACTGTTTGTTAGGACCCTTGAGACACTCACGGTGGGAGGGGCCAAGGCGCTGCTGGATAGTGACAAGGACTGAGGCTTCTTGGGTGCCCGAGCTGCTGACCACACGGCATATGTACTCCCCAGAGTCGGCTGGGGTCACCTGGGGCAGCCGCAGCCTCGAGCCATGCACCTGGAAGGGCCAGGAGGAAGGCAGGCTCAGGGTCAGGCTGTGGGGCTCACAGCCAGGCTCCTGTTCCCTTCCCTGGTGCCCCTCCCAGGCCAGTCCAGCCAACTGGACTTGAGAGAAGCTCTTTCTGGAAAAACCACCATTTATGACCCTTCAATTCCCCTGCCCCAACGTCGGGACTGGGTCCAATGAGAAGAAGAGAGCAGCCAACATTTGTCAATGTGCTATGGGGCAGGTGAGGTAGGCAGTGTGAGCCCGTTTGACAGAGGAGGAAACTAAAGATCAAGGAAGTCAGACGACTGGCCTAAAGTCACACAGCAGGCAAACCGGCAGAACAGTGTCTAAACTCAGATATGCCTAAAGTCAAAGCCTGTATACTTTCTTCTGTAGTCATGAGGGGCTTTCAGGCTCCCCCTTAGCTCTCTTCCTCCTACCTGGTGCCGAGCGGGGAGGCTGCCCCCTCGCTTGTGCCACGTGATCTGGGCATGGGCCTGCCCAGCAACCAGGCAGTTCAGATCCAAGGTCTGCCCTTCAGCCACATGGGAGGAGGATGACTCGATCCGGACTGGGGGAGTGACCCCCAGCGCTGGGGACAGAAGGCAGAGGGTCAATCCCTGGCTAAGAGGGGAGGTGAGGTGGATGTGAGTGAAGGTGGGGGGGGTCTCATGGGATCCTGCCAGTGTCTCCCGCGGCTGGGCCCCTAGCCCTGCCCTACCCCCAGTGCTGCTTACCAGGTACAGAGCCTGCAGGCTCAATGGTCACCAGGACAGAGGCCTCCAGGGGCACCGAGCCACCCACCACGCGGCACACATACTCGCCCGAGTCAACTGGGGACACTTGGTGTAGTCTCAGCAGTGAGCCGTGTGTCTGGCCGGAATGGAGGTGAGCTCAGAGGGGGCTTTCATGGGAACCTTGCACCTATAACCTGCCCCCCTGCCTCACTCTCTGACCTCTGAGTCCTGGCCATCAGCTTTGTCCTGCTTAGGGGAGGCCTCGTCCCAAGGGTAGAGGGTGGTCAGGAGAAGCCATGGTGAACTGAGCAAACCCTGATACCACCTTCCATCAAGTCTAAGACGCATCTTTTTTTTTTTTTTTTTTTTTTTTTTTTTTTTTTAAGTAGGCATCACACCCGGCATGGGGCCCAACGTGGGGCTTGAACTCACAACCCTGAGATCAAGACCTGAGCTGATATCAAGTCAGATGCTTAACTGACTGAGCCACCCAGGTGCCCTAACACACTTTTTAATGTCTCTGAAATCAAGACACATTCTACAGTCAATAACTTTACAATGATAACGGGCAGCTTTTTGTCCTTAGACGTACAAAAACTAATATTGCATCTTGCAATCGACAGCATCCTAAAGTCTATAAAATACAGTAATATTAATCATCGCTAACGGTACTATGGTAACAACAGCTCGGCAATTTCTGTGTGCCAGATCTCTGAGCAATTTGCACATACGCTAATTCACTTCATCCTTAAGACAGTTCTGTAGGATAGATACCATTTTACAGATGTTGAAGCTATGGCACAGAGAGTTTAAGTAACTTGCCCAAGGTCATAGGCTAGTAAGTGGGGGAAGCAGCATTCACACCTAGGCTGGCCAGTCCTAGAGTCTGGGCCCTAATCATTGTACTATCTATCCACCTGTGCGATGGGGTCCAAGGCTTCCCCTGTCTCCAAGGAGACTTCAGCCTTCCCCATCCTTGACCTCCACCACCCAGGGCCTCCCTCCTGTCTCCTTCTTGGCCTGTCCATCTTCCAGGCCTGTACCTGGTGCCGGGCAGGGAGGCTGCCCCCACGCTTATGCCACGTGACCTGGGCGTGGGCCTGCCCAGGCACTATGCAGTTCAGATCCAGGGTCTGCCCTTCAGCCACGTGGGAGGAGGAGGACTCGATGCGGATGGGCTGGGTGCTGCCCGGAGCTGGGGGACAGGAGGGTCACCAGTCACTCAGTTCGCTAGGGCTGCCCCTGCCCAGCCCCGCCCCGTCTTCCATCCCGGCCCAACCTGGTGGTGTCACTCACGGTAGGCAAAGTTGGCCCCCTGGGTCCTGGTTACGGTGACTGTGATAGAGGCCTCCATACCATTGCTGGCCCGGCAAACGTACTCGCCTGCGTCGGCTGGCGAGGCCTGGAAGATGTACAGGCGGGAGCCGCGGACCTGGGCAGCCAGGGCAGGGGTGTGAGAGCGAGGCTTCCCACAGCCTAGCAGACGCCCACCTGCTCTGCTCCTCTGAGCTGGGAACTGCCAGCCGCCCAGCTCAGGGGCCAAGACCCCCTCAACCTACTGCCCAGAGCTCGGCCTGGCCAGCCCCTCCCACCTTTCTGCCCCTGTGTACCTGGTGCCGGGCGGGGAGGCTGCCCCCACGCTTGTACCACGTGACCTGGGCATGGGCCTGCCCTGCCACCACACAGCTCAGATCCAGGGTCTGCCCCTCGGCCACTGTGGGGGATGTGGACTCGATCCTGACAGGGGGGACAGGTCCTGGGGCTGTGGGGAAGGAAGCAAAGGTAGCAGACGATCCCCGGCAGAGAGGGCAAGAACGGTCCACCTCAGAGCCACACAGGCCTGGTCTTCTGAGGACAGGCTCCTATGTTTGGGGGTTGCTGGCCTGGGTTTGGTTCACCTTGAGTGGAGGGCCAGGGCAGGGGCTAAGCCTTGCGGAAGGGAGCAAGGAAGTGGGGGAGAAGGGGGTAGTTGAGGCTGGGAGAGAGGAGGAAGAGGCTGGAGCAGAAACACGAGGCACTGTGTGGCCAGAGAAAAGTGAGGAAGATGGGGTCTTCCAGCTCCAGCGTGGGCCTCCTCCCCCCACCCTCCCAATGGCAGCAGGAGCCGCTAGGACCTCAGCACCTTGAAAGGCCCTCAGCCCCTTCCGCTTGCCCTGCCCTTGGGCAGTTACTCACCAGGGATGGAGCCCGGAGGGGAGCCGGAGGCCTTGATGTCGACCAGGACGGAGGCCTCCAGGGGCCCAGAGCCAAGGACCACGCGGCATACGTACTCGCCCGAGTCGGCTGGAGACACCTGGTGCAGCCGCAGCAGCGAGCCATGGGTCTGAATGCAAACAGGAGGGTTGGCAGGGGGCCAGAGGGGCCCCATCTACCCCTCCAGAAGGCTGGTCCCGAGGACGGCTGTACCTGGTGCCGGGCGGGGAGGCTGCCCCCACGCCTGTGCCATGTGACCTGCGCGTGGGCCTGCCCGGGCACCACGCAGTTCAGGTCCAGGGTCTGTCCTTCAGCCACGTGAGAGGAGGAAGACTCGATGCGGATGAGCTGGGTGCTGCCCGGAGCTGGGGCTCCTCCAGGAGCTGGCACAGAGGAACTGGTAAGGGGCCGGGGCTCCCGAGCCCCAGTCCTGCAGCCCTGGGGCAGAGCACCCAGGGACATGACCAGGGCCTGGCTTGGGAGGGCAGATGGGAGGCCTTTCTAAGGCTGGGACCATGCTTTTCTACCTCAGCATGGTCAGTCAGGCCCCTCCTTCTGTCACCCTCACCTCCAACTTTGGACTCGAGGCCCATTTGCCCACCCATGACTTCCTGATTAGGATAAGCTGCTATGGCCTACAGGCAACCAGAGCCCTTCAGTGCCCAGGCCAGGCCGAGGGACGCAGACAACAATGTTACAAGTCTCTCCTGGAGAGTGTTTGTCATCTGCTCACACCACAGGGTAGTGGTCTTGTCCCCCTTCCACAGATGAGAAAACTGAGTCCCTAAAATGTGGAATAAATAACCAGTTCAAAGCTGATAAGGGGTAGAGGCATGATTTGAACCCAGGTCAGCCTGACTCCCGACTCAGTGTTTAATCCTGACTCTGCTGCTTCCTGACGAAATCTGAAACAGTATCCTCGTCGTAGGGTCCCAGGTAAGCCAGATCAACCTTATCCCCACCCTTAGTCCCCTCACATCCCCAAAGCCCCCCTGGAGCACCCCCTCTTGTCTGATTGTCATGGAAGAGTCCACCGGCACCTTCCCTGGCATCAGTGGGGAGATCCTAGGGCTTGGCCTCTGCCCGGGCCCACTTGGCTCCTCACCTGGGGTGTAGCCAGGGACTGGGTGGGTGTTGTGGAAGACAGAGACGACGATGGAGGCCTCCTTGGGGCCTGACTCGTTCTCCACTCGGCAGACGTATTCTCCAGAATCAGCTGGAGAAACCTGGGGAAGCCGTAACCGGGAGCCATGCACCTGGGACAGGTTGGGACGCAGGTGTGTGAGGGTCAGGAGGGGCTGCAGTCACCACTTCCTCTGAGCCTTAGTGAGTCACTCATCAGGCTCTCACTGGCTCCGCTCTGGGCTGCCCCATGACAGAAGCTGGACAGGGGGAGAAATAAGGGCTGGCCGTCGCTCATGGAGGGCGTCCGGGCCGTGTGAAGCCTCTGCCTAGGAGGATCACTCCCAGGTCCCTCACTGCAGGCTCCAGGGCCCTCATACCTGGCTGTGGGGAGGCAGGCTGCCCCCTCGCTTGTACCACGTGATGGAGGTGTGGGCCAGGCCGGCCACCACACAGTTGAGGTCCAGCGTCTGGCCTTCAGTCACCGAAGGCGATGAGGACTCGATCCTGACTGGCGGGGAGCTGGCACCTGGGGGGTATCAGCGGCGGCCTGAGTAGGCCTCGGGGAGCCCTGGCTTGCCCTCCCCGCTCCTTTAGTCCCCAGAGGCCCCGCACCTGGAAGGACAACCACTTGGATTCGGGCCTGCGCGGTGCCCGCGGGGCTGCTGGCCACGCAGAGGTAGAAGCCGGCGTCGGCAGCTGTGATGGCCGGGATGAGCAGCGTGGCGATGTCTGTGCGCTCGGACCGGGCCTGCCACACGGTGGGAAGGGTCAGCCGCCCGGGGGGGCGAGGCAGCCTGGCAAGGGCTAGCCAGCGAGGATGGGGGAAGGGGGCAGAAAGGGTAGTTGGACACGAGGGAGGGCAGAGCCAGGCGGCTGGCTAAGCAAGAGGCCAACAGCCGCTACCTGCCCGGGTGCGCCGAACAGGACGTCTGAGCAGGCCGCCGTTTCGGAAGTGAAGGAAACCGGAAGGGGGAGAAGACTTGGTAGGAAGGGGAGACGGGAAAGGAAGGCGGTAGGTGCGGTGACCCTGACGAGCCTGCGGGCCGGCCCAGACAGAGTTCCTCACCTGTGGGGGGAGGCTGCCCCCTTCCTTCCTCCAGGTGATGGTGGCGCTGGGCACCCCTGCGGCCCTGCAGTACAGCCTGACGGTGCGACCTTCGTGTACCTGAGTCCTCTCTGGGCTCACCTGGACCCTGGGCCCGCTGCCCCCTGCACACAGAGGCCTGTGAGGACATCTCTCTGGACTGCCCGCGGGCTCCCAAGCTCCACCCTCAGCCGTGTCCCCTCACCGTGCACGTGGAGCACAGCCCTGGCCACGTGCTGCCCGGCACTGTTAAGGGCACGACACAGGTACTGGGCTTGATCCGAGGGCTCGACGGCTGGCAGGCGCAGGATGCCGCCGTGGATCTGTGCCTTCTGAGGGAGCTGGCCGCCAGGGCCCCCTGACGGAAAGGGGTGGCATCAGCACCCACCGGGCACCGCCAGGCCCTGTGGGTGGTAGGTCCCACAGCCTGGAGTCCCGCCCCTGGCCCCCCACATCCAGGGGAGGGAGGCCCTGCCGTCAGTCCTGCCACGGCTTCACCTGTCCACTCGAGGGTGGGCGCGGGGTTCCCGGTGGCACTGCAGCGGAACTCGGCCAGCTGTCCGGGCTGCACGGTGAGCTGCGGCGGATGGATGGAGACCACGGGGGCGGACGGGGTGCCCGAGGCTGACGGGGGAGGAAGAAGCAGTATGTGAGAAGCAGGGTGAGGAGCGCCCCCTTGCTGTTGGTCTCTGTTCTACTCCAGCCCCTCATGGCCGTGGGAGCTTTTAAAATGTCCCCGGGTGCCAGGGGCGTCTGGGTGGCTCGGATGGTTAAGCGTCTAACTTTGGCTCTGGTCACGATCTCACGGTCCGTGAGTTCGAGCCCCGTGTCGGGCTCTGTGCTGACAGCACGGAGCCTGGAACCTGCGTCCGATTCTGTCTCCCTCTCTCCCTGCCCCTCCCCCATTCACACTCTGTTTCTCTCTCTCTCAAAAATAAACAGACATTAAAAAAATACTTTTAAAAATGTCCATGGTTCTTGATACTTCCCCATTTAAGGCCTGTTGGTGGCTCCCCGGGGCTTTTCGAATAAAATCCGAACTCCTTGCTGTGCTGTGATCCACCTCTGCCCACAGCCTCACGTTCTTTACCTACCCCCTTCCCACAGCTCCAGCCACGCTAACCCTGCCGATCCTCAAACACATCAACATGCACCTGCTGCAGGGCCTTTGCACGTGTTGGTTCCTTTGCCGAGAACACTCTCTGCCAGCTCTTCAAGTGGCTGAACACATCCTCTTCCTTCAGCTTTCAGCCCAGACGTCACCTCCTCAGGGAGGCCCTCCCTGACCACCCCATGGAAAGTAGCCACCCTTCACCTACCTCACTGTCTGTTCCTATCCCGGCCCTCATCACCGTGTGAAATTCCGTTGTTTGTTCATTTGTCCCCATGCTTATATTTTTTTTATTTTATTTTAACTTGTTTTATTTTTTTAAATTTACATCCGAGTTAGTTAGCATATAGTGCAACAATAATTTCAGGAGTAGATTCCTTAATGCCCCTTCCCCATTTACCCCATCCCTCCTCCCACAACCCCTCCAGCAACCCTCTGTTTGTTCTCTATATTTAAAAGTCTCTTCTGTTTTGTCTCCCTCCCTGTTTTTACATTATTTTTGTTTTCCTTCCCTTATGTTCATCTGTTTTGTCTCTTAAAGTCCTCATATGAGTGAAGTCCTAGGATTTTTGTCTTTCTCTGACTAATTTCACTTAGCACGATACCCTCCAGTTCCAGCCACGTAGGTGCAAATGGTGTTCCCATGCTTAGTGTCTCCCTATTAGAACACGTGGTGCAGGAGGGCAGAGCCCCTGTTTGTCCTCCCCCCCATCTCTTCAGAGTCTAGTCAGACCCAGGCACACAAACTGTTCACAAACTGTCAGCTGAATGAAGAAATGGTCGCCAGTCCCGGTGGGCACGGGGGAAGGCCGTGGGTGGGTGGGCCAGGTGTGGAAGTGAATGGTGTACCTTGCACGTGCAGTGTGGCTGTGCCCTGGTCCATGGCGAACATGTTGGAGCCCGTGCAGACGTAGGTGCCCGCGTCGCTCGGCTGTACGTTGCGAATGGTCAGGATGCCGTTGAAATCCATGGCTCGGGCTGGCAGTTTCCCATTGTGCAGGCGGGTCCAAACCAGGGTGTAAGCGGGAGACTGCAGGCGGGGTAAGGAGGGTGGGATGGCGGTCAGAGGCGAACTTCAGAGACACTAGAAGCCAGAGCCGCCCTCCCTGATGTCCACGCACGGCTCTGCCCACCTTGCTCTTGGCTGTGCAGATGAAGGTGACATCAGCCCCGGGGCGCACGCTCTGGCTCCGCTGCTCCTCCACGGTCACCGTGATGGGCTTGCTTGGAGCCTCTGTGGTGACAGGAGGCACCCCCTGAGCCAGGTGCTGGCCAGGCCCCATCTCCTGTAGCCACTTTCTCTCTCTCTCCATCGTCCTGTCTGGGTGTCACTTTCTTCCCAGGCTAGCTTAGATTCCACTGCGTGCCCTGGTGCCTCCCTCCCTCACGCTGGCTCAACCCCACGGCTTCTTCCCGCTGGCACCGAGAGCCACAGGCTGCAATCAAAGAGCATCACGCTGCCACGAGTCCACCTGGCGTCGATTCATGGTCACAGACCACGAAATTGCCCTTAACACTTTGCACTTCACTCCACTGGGCTTCTCTGTCTGGTTTGAGTCTCCATCCTCCCCAACAATTTCACACCTCCAGCCTCTCCACCCACCCGCACCCCACTTCCGTTTCCACAGCCGAGGGCTTCAGCTCACGCTTGCTGAAGAAATCGAGACTACCAGTCAGGACTTTGCCCATCTTCCCAAATCCACCCACCTGCCCTCCCTCCTTCCTGGTCCCACAGGACGAGACCCTTCCCCCCCAACCCATCACCGCAGCCCTGCCCTGCCCTGCCCCACCCCTCCCAAGGACTTCCTCCCAGGGCCATGCATTATCTTGCTACATCAGTCCCTCCTCTCCCTCTGCACAGATCATTCTACTCCACAGACAAATGTGTTCTAGAATTTTCTACCTTCAAAAACACCCCCTTGACCTTACACTCCCCCCAGCTATTGCTACACGTATTGGCCTTCCTTCAGAGCCAAGACTCTTTATTTATTTATTTTAAGGAGGCTCCGCATCCAACGTGGGGCTCGAACTCATGACCCTGAGATTAAGAGCCACGTGCTCTACCAGCTGAGCCAGGCAGCCACCCTAGAGCCAAGACTTTTGAAAGAGCTGTCTGTCCTTGCTGTCTACGCCTGGCCTTCCCCTCCATTCTTTGCCTCTCTCCAGTCTGGTTTCTACCCCTTCCCTCCACTGTATGGCTCTCATCAAAGATGATGACCTCCAAGGGTCCCTTCTCCGCCCGTATCTGACTGCCCCGGGGCATGTGGTGAGGCCAACCACTCCTTTCAGGAAGCCCCCTCCCCACATGACCCCCAACTCACCTGCTCTCCTGCTCTCCTCCTATCTCAATGGCTGTCCCCACTTAGTCCCTCGTGCTGTCTTCCCTCTTCACCTTGACATGTTCAAGCTGGAGCTACAGACTCGTGATGCCCCCTGACCTGTGTGCAGCAGGTGCTGCGGGTGCCCCGCCCGCATCCCCTTCCCCTGTCACTTCAGAGCCCGCCTGCCTGACTTCTGCCAGCCGCCGCATTTCTGTGCCTGAGTCCTTCTCGGGCCACCGGGGACTGCCGTGCCTGCCCCCAAGGTGGTATAAAACGCGGGGGCCCTGGTGATCCTAGAGCACAGGCCTCAATCAACTGGCCCTGGGATGGGGGACTCCGAGGTGCACATTTTACTCTGGAGTTTCCCAGAATTTCTTTGGCTGCGGTGAACAACTGTCCCCGGTGGGAATGTGCTCGGTAACACGCCCTCTATGGGATGTCTTCTCTTTCCTGCCTCACTTCGCTTCCTACAGAAACTGCTGGCATGAAAATCCTCATCCCAGACTCAGCTTCAGGGGTGGGGGTTCCCAATGAAAACACCCGCCTGCTGAGCCTGCTCATCTCGGTAAATGGCACCTCATTTGCCTGCCTGCTGGGGTCCAGACCCGTGGGCATTATTTTAGCTTTTCTTTCTCTCTCAGTGACCACAATCAAGTCCTGCCAATTTTGCCTCTACAACTAGCCTTGACCCCACTATCTCTCCATCTCCGCGGCCAGCACCCCCGTGCCCCACCACCCTCTCCAGCGGAGGGACGTGCCCACTGCCTGTGTCCACAGTCCAGCCCGGCACAGACGGGCTGGGGACGGAGTGGAGCAGGGACTCACCGGTGACCAGCAGCTCTGCCCGGCTGGTATTGGCGCGATGGAGATTACGACAGGTGCAGATGTAGACGCCAGCATCTGATGGCTGGACGCTAGGGAAGTGGAGCTCAGAGCCTGGTGGGAAGTGGACAGGAGCTCATCAGCGCAGATGCACCCCGTCTCCCACCCGGCCCTGCGTGTAAGGACAGGATCGCAGCAAACAGGCCTGTGATTCCCCTCCCTCTGGGGTGGCTCATGGGGCTGAGGGGCCGGGGGTCATGGGTACCTTGATGTCGCTGCTGGGTGCTGCTAGGCAAGGGACGCCCATCCTCACGAGACCAGTAAAAGTAGTGGGGTGGGCTCCCACTGACCTGGCACCACAGGGAATGGGAGCCACCTTGGGGTACTATGGTCCGAGCCGGATGCACCTGGACCACCAGTGGGGCTGCATCTGCTGGAGGAAGGACAGGAGAGGCCATTCAGGCAGGAGCTCCCAGCATGCAGCACTGTCTCAGGTATCTCTGTCTTCCCGAACCCTGGTGTGCCCCACCCTCAGCCCTGCCCCCCGGATGTAGTGACTCTCAAACTCCCTAGGCTCACTGCCTTCTCCATCACCCTGACCCGCCACGATCCCACTTACCTTGGGGCAGGCACCGGCCCCCCCGCACATTGGGGTTACCCACGTAGCCTGGGGCACATCTGTAAGGAGGAACAGACCAGCTCTGTCAGGCCCCAGGCCCCAGGGGACTCGGTGCCTCATGGTGGACTTGCGGAGCCAGAAGTCCAGCGGGGGTGGGCTCAGTGCGGGGTGAGGAGGCTCACAACTCTGGAAGGACTTTGGAGACCAAAGAGGCCTCAACACGGCCTCACTGAGCTAAGAACGGCGATGTTAGCAGATTGGACAACGGGGGTAATAAGGTCTTTAGTCTCCAGGGAAACATTCATTCAACAAGCATTTATTAAGCAACTACTACGCTAGCTTGTGGAATCGGGACAGTGAGCATGATGCAGCTCTCGCCCTTACAGACCTGGCTTGTCGGGAAACCAACGAGGAACTATGTAAACGAGAGAGACGCACATGAGGGGCACTAACCCAGGCCTGAGAGTCAAGAAGCTCCCCAGAGGACCGCACTACTGGCTTGTTATATTCCCTTGGAGCAGATTGGACTCCAGAGAACTCACCACTCTTCATAATTATGTGTTTGTATGATTACTTGCTGCCCCGTCTCCCATGACAGGTGGTAGACTCCCTAAGGGCTGAGACTGAATCTGTTTCGTTCACCCCTTTATCTCCAACACCTTGGCACACAGTAGGTGCTCAAGAAAAACATGCTGAATGAGTGAATGAAGCTGAGCTTTGAAGGCTAAACAGGAGTCAGCGAGAAAGGGGAGGTTTGAGGGTGAAGAACGTTCCATGTAGAGGGAACAGCGTGTGCAAAGACCAGAACATCAGGAAGTCAAGAGGTTAGGCCCAGCTATGGTAGATTCGGGTGTTAAAAGGGGAATGAGCTTGGGCTTGGCCCAAGGGCAACGGGGAATCTTGGAAGGGTTTTGGGCAGGGGAAAGATGTGATCCTGGCAGAGACCTTTTTGAGCAACACCCCCCCAGGACTCTCACCTAGGAGTCTACCATATGCCCCCTTCCTCCCCCCATCCTATTTGCAAACTTACTGCTCACAGTACTGGCCAGTGTAGCCAGGTTCACAGGCTGTGCATCGGTACCCGCCAGCTCCCAGGCTCTCACAGGTGCGGGAGAACCTGAGATGGGGGAAGCAGAGGTCAGGCCGGGGGACGCCCACCCTCCACCCGGTGCCCTCCACTCCCAAGTGGGAGTTCTTCCTTGGGCCCTGAACGGGGACACCCACATGTTCTCCGGGTTGGTCAGTGGGCAGGCGCAGGGCTGGCAGTCCTCAGGTGTCCCGGCAGTAGCATCTCCATAATAGCCAGGGGCACACAGCTCACAGAATTCCCCAGCGGCGTTGTGCTGGCAGTGCTGTGGGGCACAAGGATGTCAGCCACCCACCATTTGGCAAAATCTACCCCAAACCGTACAGTTTTGTAATCCCTTGAGCTGGAAATTCTGTATCTGTGAGCCTATCTTAAATAATTGTAGAAGGGGCGTCTGGGTGGCTCCGTTGGGTAAGCATCCGACTCTTGATTTCGGCTCAGGTCATGATCTCACGATTTGTAGGGTTCGAGACCTGAATGGGGCTCTGAGCTGGCTGTATGGAGTCTGCTGGGATTCTCTCTCTCCCTCGCTCTCTCTGTTCCTCCCCCACTGGCGTGCGCTCGCTCTCTCTCTCTCTCTCTCTCCAAATCAATAAACTTAATAAAAAGAGAAGGATGTTATTCTACCATTCTGGCCATCCCACAATGCTTACAGTGCCCACTGCTGGTTCAGGCACTTTGTCCCACAATCCGTGCCCTGCCACCTTGCCCCTGGACCTAGGCCCACCTTACCAAGCCCACCCCTCCCTGCCTCCCAGGCAGCCCCGGTGCCCCACCCAGGCCCGGAGAAATTGACCCCTGACCCTGCCCTGTTTGTGTCTTACCGAGCAGGCCCCGGTCTCCGGGTGGCACAGGTCTGAGTGGCCGTTGCATTCACACAGCTCACAGTGGCCGAGGTAGAGTCCACTGCCAGTGCGTGTATAGCCTGGGGCACAGTCCTGGGGAGAGAGGAGGGCTGGTTTCTATCTCTAAAGTGGTCCCATCTGGAGCCAATAGACCAGAACCTTCTCTCTCCAGCCTCTCTCCACAATCTAGACTCCCATTGGCTCTTGGTTGGGAAATCCCAGGCCCGGCCCTCCTCCCCAGCATCCTCTCTTGGAACCTTCCTCCCTGTCTTTGTGCTCAGTTTCTCAACACTGTGGAAGCTGGGACAGTGTCTGTCCCCATCCTGCCTGGCATCTCCAGCCACTCTGAATTTACTGAAATCATAGTTCACCCTTAATGGAGGAGAACGCTTTTCCATTTCCCATTTTCATTCCTGAAAATTCTTCTGGTAGGGTCTCTATTGAAAAACTGAACTCCTAGATGAAAAAACAAGGTTCAGGAGACCCAGATTTGGAATGAGCCCTTGGAGATCTTTACAACTACCTCACAGTCACTAAATAAAGTGAAAGAGGCAGGCATCTCACACACAATCGAGGATGTTTTTACACATTCTGAGTGAGTAATCATGGGTTTGGAAAACAAAGAGTTTCTATTCACTACCCCTCCTTTGAAACTTCTCCAGGCCCCTCCCGCCCCCCAACCATTTCAAAGGGATGTTTACAAATCTGTTTTTCTTCACTGCAGAAAGTGCGCACACAGGATTATTCTGCCCTCCCCAGGGCTTCTCCTTCAAAATGTGTTATTAAATTTGATAACTTCAAAGGAGGTGAAGTTCATATGTTTGGATTTGAAAGTCTGTGGCCATAGCAAAGGTGCACGAATGTAAAATTGCGGAGATGTGCACTTTGCACAGGGGAGTTCCTGCATCTGGGCGCTGGCTGTTCCCACACTTGACCTCCCTGCCGCCCACCAGGCATTGCAGCTCAGCCCCCTCCCCTTCCTTCATCCTCCCCCTTCCTCAGTTCCAAGTTCACTCGTCCAGTGTTGACTGGCGGCCTGCCAATGTGTCTGGAAACTCAGTGGTGGACAGTCAGCTCAGGCGCTGCCCTCAGGGAGTTCACGGTCTCCGGCCAAACCCTCCGGATGCTCTTGGGCTCTCTGCAACGGCCAGCCCTCCGTTCCACCCCCAGTGCCCTCCTTGTAAATAGGAGTCCCTGTCTCTCCCCGACCTGTCTCATTCACCAGGGCAGAGAGGACTTTTCCTGATGCCCAGCGCAGACCATAGCACTCCCTTCACGGCTTGGCATTCCCTACTGAGCGGAACCTCATTCCAGGCCTAAGGAAGTAGCCCCTGCCCCCTCAGCTTTCCGGGGTGACCCTTCTGCATCATGGACTATTTCCCCATACAGTCCTCCTTGTGAGCTGCCCAGAATCCTACCCTGCTCCACACTGTTTACCTCTCCGAGGCATTTCTATGTTCTGCTTTGGCCCAGAAAAATACGTGTATCCGTATTGCCTCCCTGTCTCTAGGGGGCACCCTGGGAGCACGAGCTGGGTCTTAGTCTTGGGAGACCATAGTTGTATCCCCTTGGGAAAGCCACTTAGCCTTCAGAGCCTCTATTAAAAAAAAATCTGTTAGGGGTGCCTGGGTGGCTCAGTCGGTTAAGCCTCCAACTTCGACTTTGGCTCAGGTTACGATCTCACAGTTCATGAGTTCGAGCCCCACATCAGGCTCTGTGCTGACAGCTCAGAGCCTGGAACCTGCTTCGGATTCTTTATCTCCCTCTCTCTCTGCCCCTCCCCTGCTCACACTTAGTGTCTCTCTCTCTCAAAAGTAAATAAATATTTTTTAAAAATCTGTTAAGAGGGGATAA